AGTCCGTCCCACGACGTCGTCCGAAACGAAAACGTACTAATACTACGACACTATATACTACTACAACTAAGTATTGTATACACGTTCTACCTCTCTCTCTCTCTCTCTCTCTCTCTCTCACACACACATCAAAAGGTTATGTACACCAACATCCCCAACTGTTATTTCTATCATGCGTAGCACTTCTAAATCAAAATTAAGTATAACAATGAAAGTACAGATTCAAATGGAATGTAGAAACCGATTAGGAATATAACTTACCTCGGCAGCAGAAATGAAACCATTTTGATCCTTGTCAAAGACTTTGAATGCCTCTTTCAATTCCTCCTCAGAATCAGTATCCTTTTAAAGATGAAAACATTAAAATTGCACAAGATTGGTCACATAAAATCCATCACAAGATCGGTCAAATAACAAAATCCATGATTTTCTTTTTCTCTGTACCGGTAAATTGCAAATTGTCTTTGACCATGAAATTGTTGACAAGAAACTATTTTTTGTCAGCCAAAATTTGAAAAGGTTTTCATTTAAGGCTCAATTGAAATTCTGAATTCATATCAAGTTCAACACTGATCCCTTTCTAATTACGACAAAAACCAATGAGATAGTCAATTTCACCGGATAGTAACCTCACCTCTCTACAGACCAATTTTGACTTTGAAGAACCATAGTCCCAAGTCCCTCGAGGTGATGACCAATCTGGCCAAGTTACTCGGGCTTGGGCTGTGAGTGAGCCCGTGTTGTCCCAAGTTGGGGGTCCAACTCAAGGATATTAAAAATAATTCAAAAATTATAAAAATTCCAAAAAAAAAAGAAGTTTATTTGTAATATGTTTTTTTATGTTTTCTATCATTCTGGTAAAGACTAGAAAGTTTTTTGGCCATGAATACTTATTTTTACATTTTCTCATCTTTTTTATAAAATTTCAAAAATACCCCCATCACAAACTCATTTTTCCAAAATCTATTTTTTTCTCAAATTTTTTAACTACATTTAGATGTGTTTTGCTTAATTTTACTTTGAATATATGTAGCATATTATTTTGGATTTTTATATTTTATTTTTATATTTATTTTTTAACATTTTTTTCCTGCTACAGTACTCGGCCTACTCGGGCCAAGTTACTTGGAATCGAGCCGAGTTACTTGGACTCAGGCAGAGTACTCAGCTCATGAGTAGTGGTCTCGAACTCTAGCAGAAAGAGTAAAACCAAACATCAGCCTCTTTGATTTTTTATTAATTTAATTTGAATTGAATTTCTTTTTATTTCTACTTTTTTTGACAATGGTTTTGTAATAGTCCATTGAACTTCAGTACACTTCCCACGCAAGAAACACAATCATGACTTTCATTCATTTCACTGGACAGTCATGACCACGATGGACAATGATTTTCAATGGTCAATTGAACCATAGCATACTTTCCAACAAAAAATTCCTTGAAACGTACTTTGACCCAAATGGACTATGACTTTCAATGGTCAATTGAAATATAGCATGCTTTCTCATGCACAAAACTTCATGGAAACTTACTTTCATTTTGCGGGCCATCAGATTCAAAAACTCAGGGAAATCTATAGTTCCATTCCCATCAGCATCGACCTCATTGATCATATCTTGGAGTTCTGCCTCAGTTGGATTTTGCCCAAGGGACCTCATCACAGTTCCCAGCTCTTTTGTGGTGATGCAGCCTGTGCAGGTCAAAAAGGAATGTGCATCACTGATTAGGACACTATAGATAATATGCTCAGATAAAAGTCAAAGTGAACCGAAGTTGCCTTCAAGGCCTCCTCATAAAGAGTGAAATTCTATATGAATTTGTGTGAGTAAGGTATGACCCACAAAGTGTGCCATGTGAAGGCCTAAAGATAGGAGAGCTCAATACCTCTAAAATCTCTATAAAACGGTTATTTAAGTCATAATACCTCTCCAGAAGAGAAAAATCCTTGAATCAAACACCAGATCCCTATGATAAAAAGTTCATCATCCTAAAAATAAGAACAACAACAATTCCTAAACATTCAATTCTGCTAAGCAAATTATAACCAACATTGTGCCCTCTAATCCCTAAGGGATTGATAACGAGCTTTGCTTAGACCCCCTGAATCTCAAATTTGGAAGGAAATCTACTCATACATGAGATACTCTGGGAATACAATCCAAATCCATATTTACCAATTAAGTTGTAATATTCCTCGTTCAAAATTTGCCCTTAGCTGTCTGAGATAAACTACTATTATAACCTCTCATGCTCATGATTCTGCAACATTCTTGAGTCTTGACTTGCTACAGAAAATACCTAACATTTCACTATGAGGAAAAATAGCTGAAGCTTTTCCGAATTCCAAATTTGCCTTGATATGATATGAACCACTCTTCAGTCTTGACCTGCTCTAGCAAATTCCAAACATTTCTCTACGAAGAAAACTAGCTCAAGATTTTCCAAATATCCCTTGAAATAAGATAGCCATATCCCCTTATAAGGAACGACCTGTTTGAGTGCTACTTGTGCTTAATTGTCTTCTTCAGAAGAGCTTGCATGTGCTCCTGATCCTCCAAACCAACTTTACAAAGGTCTCCTTTACCAATTACAAGTTGCATCAACTATACCAGTACCATAGAAACCAATAACAGGTATCATTGTACTTAGAACAAAGCTTGCTTACTCCATGACATTTCAAGACTGTAAATTTCACTGAAACAACAAGCCCCACCACACTGTCTTACCAGAACTTTCTCATGGATTTGGAAGTATATAATACGACAGAGAACATTATAGCAGACAGATACATCTCTATACATTCTTCAAATCATTATCCACTCAAAACACAATGGTCATATCAAAATTTAAGCGGTACACCATACTTTTTGACAAGTACCAGCACAAAACGCATGTGAGGCGCAAGTAGAGAACGAATAATATAGATATTTCTGTATGTTACCTTTAAACTCATTTAGCCAATATTTTGAATCCATTACTTATTGATAACTTGATTTTGTTGACATTTTGTTTACAAATTTATATCTATCTTGGAATAATTTTGTAATATTTTAAAAATGCATATTTTTATTTAAAAACTTTGAAAATTTGGAAAAGGAACTCTTTTACAAACTCTCTTATGTGGGGGGGTAAAAAAGGAAATAAAATGTAAAGGAATTTAAGGAAAAGGAAATTGTTTTGGAAGTGACATGCTCGCTCATGCCATCAAATAGAGATTGGTTTTCTAACAAGTCTCTAATTCGGGTAAGGTTATAATAATATTTACATTAACACACAAAAATACCATCCTTATGTAACACTAACACATTTAAGGAGGGGAACTTTGGGCACATATTTTGACAGGAGAATAGGAGAGAGTATGCTGGGTTTAGGGAAGATGGACGATAAAGTGTATTGGGTTAGAGATCGCGTGATAGAGAGAGGGTATTTGGTTTGTATTTCAATTGGCTTAGTATTGTTGCGTGCCATTTAGAAATTCCCAGAAGATTCAAGAGCAATTTCAATTCTAACAGACACAACCACCAACTAGACCCAAACTTAGCATAATGGGATAGATAAACCCAACTTTATCCTCAAATTTGGCCATGAATGAAAATATTTGCTGTACTGTAACTCTGACGATAAAAATATCATCCTATTGTTTACACTACTTCGAATTGGTAGGCCACAAGTATCCCATCAAATTGCACACATCACGCTAACCAAATGGTCAAAAAGGATAGCTACACATTGGCCGCTAATTTCAATAATGATAGCAATACAGTTAACTAGTCCACAAGGATTATACCAAGTTATGCATTGAGTGATCAGAAATTATGCATCGAGTGATCAGTAATCAGTTTGAATTGAAAAAAATACCGCCTGCTACTTGTGTCTCCCAAAGAACAATAAACAATGAAGTCAAACTGCAAACTCCAATAAACTTCTAAAAATTAATCCAAATAAAAAAAAAGTAGGCAACCACAACGTTCAAATACCATGTTATAATCAGACACATTGAATTAGCACGACTTCTGTTATACCACTAACTTGGTTACAATCAAATTAGTTAAGGAAAAAAAAACCTTGGTTTAAGCAAAATGTGAAAATTACCTTGTACCTCTTTCAAAGACCATCAAATAATATGATGAAATACTTTAACTAGGATGTATAGGCCAGAAAGGCATACACGAGGAAGAAAAGGTATGCCTCAGGTGCACCAATAAAAACCTCTATTGTTCCAAATCTAAAACCAGCATTCGCCGAATTAATTTCCCCCTTCCAGCTCTAAAGTAGTATTGTAGACCAGGTGCAATGAGTCTTTGTGATTATAACATAGTATTTGAACATTGTGGTTGCCTAATTATTTTTATTTGGATTAATTTTTAGAAGTTTATTGGAGTTTGCAGATGGACTTAATAGTTTATTGTTCTTTGGGAAACAAGTGGCAGTCGGTATTTTTTTCAATTCAAACTGACTATTGATCACTCAATGCATAACTTGTCCTTGTGGATTAGTTAACTGTATTGCTATCATTATTGAAATTTAGTGGCCAATGTATAGCTATCTTTTTTTACCATTTGGTTAGCGTGATGTGTGCGATTTGATGGGATACTTGTAGCCTGGCAATTCGAAGTAGCGTAAACAATAGAATGATATTTTTATCGTCAGAGTTATAGTAAAGCAAATATTTTCATTCATGGCTAAATTTGGGGATAATTTGGTGCATTATCTTATAACCAGTAGTTTCTTTCTTTTCTGTTTTTTATGGTGACAATAACAATACTACTTTATTGGTATTTAAGCAGTTGGAATATAAAAAAGATGATATTTTAATCACGGTGTATGATCTATTGATTACTGCTATATTCATCATCATCATCATCAGAACCTTTTCCCAACTAATTGGAGTCAGCTACACAAATCTTGGTCCGCCATTATGTTCTATTAAGGGTCATACCTTCAGTGAGGCCATAAGTCCCCGTATCGTTTCTCACTACTTCTAACTATATCCTTTTGGGCCAACCCTTGGCCCTTTTTAGCCTTCCACTTGAACGAACTCGCACCTCCTAACATGTGTTATACTGGGTTTGGGCTGCACATGGCCAGCCTACCTAAGTTTACCTTCTCTCATCTTATCGCCTATTGGTGCTACACATAAATTCTCTGAAATGTATTCATTTCGACTTCTATCCCTCCTTGTCTTGTCACTCATCCATCTCAACATCATCATCTCAGCTACACTCATTCTAAGGGTATGTTGTTTCTTGTCTGTCCAATATTCTGCCTACAAAGCAAAGCTGTCTATATCCATCAGGTGCATTTTTGTTTTTAACTCCAGCAAACAATGGAACTTACATGCTTGAATCTATTGAATTGTTAGAAGATGAGAATCAATTGAATTATCAAAACTTCAGAGCTACAAAATTAGATTTGACCTCATCTTTGGGTTTCCTTTATCCGGATGCCAAAAAGGGTCCTTCCATCTGCGTTTCCATAGAATGTCAATTCTAAACCCCAACATTGCTTCAGATGTGCACCTCATATTTAGATTTGCAAGTCATATTGTCCTATTTTTATGTAGAAGCAACAAAATCCTTGCCCAAAAATTGAATATCTCAAATTAAGAACGTTGTCTTGCATGTATGCACATGTCAAACAAAACCAAAGCACGCATGTGTACACATATAATCATCTAAATAAATGTGTGTGTTTGTATGTATATTAGTGTGTGGACGTGTACAGACATTCATGCATGCTCATATGCGTGTTTTTTAGTATATGTGTGTGTATGGATGTGGATCTATGTATGCATGTATGCACATACTTTTGTATGTAGTAATTAGCTGATCAAGAATTATATATATGTAAAATGTATCTATTTGTTTCTGTATATATAAACATACAGAAATGCATGTGAGCACATATATAGCAATCTCAAATCCTTCTCTACTTAATTGTGTCACTTTTAGAAATTAAAAAGAATACGTAAAGAAAACAATTTTTTATTTTTCTTACGAGCAGATAAAGAGAAGAAGAACAAGTTGATAGTGATCATCACATAGTCAGAAACAGAAAAAATGCAAAATCATGAAATACAAATCAAAATGGCATTTAGATATAATAGAATCAAATCCAACAACTCTAAGTCATCAATTCGCAATAGAGAGCGACTGAACCAAAATCCAAAATGAGTGGTGTGAAAAAAAAATTGAGAAATAGTCGTGTGAAAAAATTTCAAAAAAAAAACAATTAGTAGCAAGTGTTGCCCTATGATAGGGTTGTGACATGAGATGCATGTAATTTGTCTAATCTTTTTGTTTTTTCTCTAATAGAAACGGGTAGGTGCCCAAATCCCCACTAATTTACCCAAAAAATAATACTATAATAAATCCAAGAGACCGAGAATACATTATCTAGCAGTAGCAAAACAAAATCATATCCAATTAAAAAAAATGGCCAATAAAACAAGAAAAAAATAAAGCTTCATTGCAAAACCAAGTTGAAAATATAAAACTTTAACGCGTCTATCATATGCAAAATGTATTGCTCAAACATTCCAACCAATCAAAAACTGAAAAAATATGTAAATAAATAGCAGAAGGCAAGAGCAACAACCAAGCTTCCAGAAGTGCATAAAAAAAAACTTACATTTTCTCAAAAATGGATTGCAAAACTCATCTAGAGGTTCATATACTTAAGGAAAAGAAGCTTGGGGCACAAATGGATCAACATAATGGGATAGGAAAGAAAGTACAAGACACAAGATTCGAGTAAAAAAGACCAAGAGCAAACGCAATCCAGATTCACAAACAAACCGATCACATCAATTTGAAAAAAGAAAAAAGACAGGACATAAAGAATACGCTCCACATAACCATAGAAGGAGAGTGGAATGAGAAAATAAAATAAAGTCAAGAACAAAATAAAATATAGAAACACATGAAGAATCCTACGACCATGGATCACACCACTCCACTAAGATTTCCAATTTTCGGAAAACAACAAATTCAGGTTGGAAACAAGAAGCCTCAAGCAAAAATAGATAGACAAAGTAGAGATGATGAAAAGATAAATGAGAGAGAAACAAAGAGAAAACAAATACGGTTCATATACAGCTTGATCACAGCGCTCATCTAATATTCCACATTTTCATAAATAACAAACATAGTTTAGAAAGAACATGCTCAGGAAAAGAAAAAAAAAAGTTCAAGATGACGAGAGAGAACAAGAAAGAGAAAATATTGCCTGAATCAAACAAAAATGAAGCACAGCACCCATCTACGACTTCAGATTTTTAAACAAGCATTCAGAAAGAACGAGCTTCATACAACAATAGAGAAAGAGAAATAAAGGATTGAAATTAAAAAAAATGATGACAGACAAAGAGAAAATACATCAAGAATCAAACAAAATTGATAAGAGATAAAAGAGAAAATACGTCCAGAATCAAACAAAAATGGATCCCAGCACTCATCTAAGCCTTTGTATTTTCAAAAAAAAACAAAGGCATCTCGAAAACAAGCCTCACGTCACGAACAATAGAGAGAGAGGAGCTAAACTAAAAAATGATGAGAGAGAGCCTTTGTATTTTCAAAAAAAACATAGGCATCTCGAAGACAAGAGCTAAACTAAAAAATGATGAGAGACGAAAAACGGATCACAGCAACAAAAGTTTCATATTTTCCAAAAAATAACAGAAACATGCCAGAGAGAAAGATGAGCATGAGAGAGAAAGAGGGAGAGAGACTACATCAGGATCAAACAAATAATGGAACACAGAACTCATCTAGGGTTTCAGATTTTCAAAAAGCACATGCTTTTAGAATAAAAAAACTTCTCATGAAAATAGAGAGAGAAAGTGAAACGATAAGAAAAATAATGAGAACGAAAGAAAAAAAAGGAGACAGATAATATACCTTGAGTTACACAGAAATTGATCACAGAAATCATTTAATGTTCCAGATATTTATACTCATATCAAAAGGAGCTTCTTCACACAGCACGGATGGAGAAAGACGAGAGAGATGAAGAGACTGATGAGAGAAAAAAGAAATAGAAAACACATCTAAAATCATACAAAATGGATCATAGAACTCATCCAAATTCTAAGGTTTCATATTTCCAAACACATTTATACAGAACAGACGGTTCTTCCCACTAGAGAGAGACAATAAAGTCATAAGAGCGAGAGAGAAAACACACCCAGAATCACATAAAAATCGATCAGATAACTCGTATAGGGTTTCAAAGTTAAAACGCATCTACGCTTCTTCACAAAATAGAGGAATAAATAAAGAAGAGAGAGGAAACGGAAATGATGAGAGACAAAGAGTGAGAGGAGAAAATGCATAGATTTGTTACCATCTCCATCTTTGTCGAAGAGGCTGAAGGCCTCCTTGAACTCAGAGATCTGCTCCTCTGTGAGTTGTTCTGCCATTTTTTCTTTCTAAAACTTGGAAGCGATCAAAATTAATTTACATTGTAAAAAAATGTCATTTTATACGATTCCTCGCTCTGGTCCTGAGCGCAGGAAAATGACTAAAACACCCCGTTGTTCTTTTCAGAAATATCGCTGAGAATATCACTAGAGAATAACATATAACGGGCCCGGCAGGTTTATTAACAAAGTGTGGTTTGGATAAGGGTGTAACTCTAAACATTGATAGTAAGGTGCATCTCTGAATTCTATCATGGGATGAAATTTTTAGTTTCAAAAATTTTTAGAGTAGTTTGAGAACTAATTTTTATTTTTAGTTATAAAATTTTACACTCTAAAAGTAATTCAAATCATGTAGATCTATAAGCACATAAAAATCTTAAAAAATAGACGGTTCGAATAATATATTGCAAGAGGCACTATTTTTCGGACTCAAAATTGTTTTTTTCTATTTCCATACATCTTAACATCAAGATGATTAATTAGAGGGTTTTCCAACCACCGGAAAAGTATTTTCCAATTGATTTTTGAGGTGCATCTTAATTCTAGAGTTTAAGGTTACAACCTATATAAACTTTTTCCATTAACGAAAGCTAAATTGTGAAACAATTATAGTTTGAAATCTGTGTAAGTTTACTTTTAAAAATAAAGAGGATTCAATTGCAATATTTTATGATTATAAGCACCTATATTTGTAAGAAAAATGAGCACCTAGATTTGTAAGGGCACTTTAAAAAGCGCTCTCTCTCTCAGTCACATTTGTTTTTAAAGTTAACAATTTTTTTTTCGCAAGAAGACATATCATGATTAATGACAATAATCACCCATTGAAAAAGAAGAGATAATTACTTTTGGTTTTTACGATTTCATTTCAGCATTGACCAATAATCAGCCCTTGAAAAAGAAGATTACAATTACTTTTGGTTTTTAGATTTCATTTGAGCATTGACCAAGATCAAACGTTTAAAAATAATAATCTCAAACTTTATGATATATCCCAAGCAAGGGGTGACTGTAAGATTGGTAAAGGAGAAATATTTATGCGTTAAGGACTGCATGCATCCACTGAGCATTATGACTCTAACTTTAATGTGGACTGCAAAAAGTGGCCCAATCAAAAATTTAAAAATAACAGTCCAATTTTTTTAAAAAAAATATCGGTTTTTAATTTTCACTTATTTATTTATTCATAATTGTAATCCCATGATAGAGATTATGGATTTTGGAGGGAGGATTTGTTGAGTTGGTGATATCAAATCACCACCAATAGATTTCCCATTGTTAAGTGATAAAAGATCTCTCTTGATTTCATATTATTTTTGCAAAATTTATTGCACCAAAAATTGTTTTAAAGTATTTAATTTTCTTAAAATTAATTTGCAGGTGAGTTGGTTTTGAGATATTGTAGTGGAGGGTCACCACAATTAGGAGCAATCAAACAAGTTTAGGCTCCAAACAAGTGGTATTAGAACTCAAAAAAAGCGTATAGTAATTAGGAAAAAACAAAAATTACAAATTTGAAGAATAGATGTTTGATGGAATGAAATATTTTAAACTTTGGACAATAAAATTTCGTGATTATTGGTACCACAAGGCTTTTATTATAAGGAAAACCCAAAAAGCCGGGTAGTATGAGTGATGATAATTAAAAAGAAATGGATAAGAAAGACAATATCCACCATTCTCTTGTGCTTAGCAAACGTACTACTATTTAATATAGTAAAAGAATAGGTGTCGGTGGATTTATAGCAAAAGTAGAAAGCTTGTATCAAATCAAATCCCTAACAAATTCTTAAAAAGAAATTTGTATTATATGAAAGTGTCGGGACACTCAACAACATAGCTTATCAACTCGAGAGTAGATAGAGATAGAGATAGATAAGAAAAGTAAGGTAATTTTGTTGCTTTGTTTGTTACTAGAGTCTAATAATAATCTTGTTAATACGTTCTAAGAAGGCTGAATCCCTCAAATTGGATTTTATATGCAGTGCTCTCCTTGTCGATGAACATCGAAATAAAATATAATAGATAGCTCGATGGATTCAAGAATGGATCCTCTTGGAACAAGAGTCCGTCCCTTGGGCATCAAACGCCTAGGATGGACATCAAAAAAGGGTGAATCCACTAAAAGTGAAATAGATGGTGAAAAAGGAAATTCAAAAAATACTTATTATATTTTTCAAAAAAAAAATCAAATGCGAGATATCATCATTGTTGAGATTACCAAACCCTAAATTTTTTTATTGAAAGTTAATATTTGAAATCAATTTTAGAAGGGAACAATAGGTGAGTGGGGGGTGACTCACTAATTACTTTTCCTTTTTTAAATACAGCTAATTGGGAATATTGATGAAATTTCCTTTCTCCTTAGATGATAATTGATGCCCTAGTAATAAAGAGAGTAAGAGTCGATTCCATAGCACTAAAAAACGTGGAATCTGCTGGGTCTTTGTGGTCATTAAAAGTCTTATGAGAGCATGTAATTAATATATAATATAGCTAAACAAAGAACTCCAGTGGGAGTACGGTCTTGAGGGACTAAGAGAATACGGTCGTAAGGAATTAAGAGAATATGGTCTAGAGGGACCAAGAGATTGTGGTCCAAAGGGACCACGTTAGGCAAATGCTATTTGCGGATACTCAGACTTGGCTTGACATGCTAGGATAGTCGAGTTGAAAAATCCCTATTTCCTGGGCATAGAACACAACCAATGAGGGTTTTATACGTCATTTCTTGCAAAGATCAGAGTTGCTCAAGGGTGTGCGCCAAGGGACTATGTAACCCATGTGTGTGATGATTGGCCTCTAAAGACAAGAGTCGCCATCACACGGCATGTGCATATGATAGTTGCATCAAGAAATAAAACCATCATTGAGGGTGAAGCATGTACATGTGCGAGAGATTACCCTTATGCACTATAGAGTTGTGGTTGCATGAGGTATGTATGATTTTGGTCTTGTCTCAAAGGGAGAACATGTATTCCATATACTGGGATTATGTTATTTTGCCTATTGACTAACTTTGGTCGCCCAAACATGAACTGTAATCGTGATTTGTGAGTCATGGGAACCGTTGCGTTAGTTTGAGAAAAAATTGTGGATCATGGTCCACCATAGAAGATTGAGTGCTTCAGCGATATTATAATTATTAGGCCTAATTGGATCCGATTCCCATCAAAATTATTGGAAATTAATTATTTTAATGTTAAATTTTTTTTAGACTGATTATTGATATTTTATTTTTAGAAAATGGATTTATAAATTAAGAGATATTATTTAAATATTTAAATATTCAGAGAAAAAAAAAATTATTTGCGATATTTTAAAAATCATTTTAAAATAAGTTGATAATTCATAAATATTTTAGAGGGCCCATGGGCCCACCAAGTCCACCATTGTGATATGTGTGGGGCCCATATAGGGGCCCATGGGTGGCACACCCCACTTAGTGGGGGTACTTTCTTATTTTCTAGCCTTGTGAATCAAGACAACAAATAAAGTTGAAAATTTATAAAAAGTGTTTTACAAAAATTTTGATTGAAACAACAATGGATGGTTGTGAAATTAAATATATTTGATTTCAATAAAAAAATATGTGTAAGAAAATTATGAAAAATAAAAATAAGTATGATATTATTTTTTATATTTTATTATTTGATGGGATTAGGTTTAGAAAGCTAAATGATAAGGTTCTAGTATTTTTTTAAAAATCATGATAGCTGATCTAAAGACTTGATAGTTCAGATCTTTCACCCCACATGTCTCCTATGCTTATTGAACTAATATCCATGATGATGACTAACCTTAAGAAAACTCTAACCCTTGGAAATTCTATAAATAGGGACTCTCTCCTATTAATCTCTATACCGCTTATCTCTCTCTCTTCTCTCTAATATCTCTCCCTTAGAAAAATATGTATATTGAATTAGAAATAGGGGCACTCCCCAAGCTATGAGGAGAGAGGGGGCACGACCCCACACCCCACACATGCAAGGTATTTGTAGTTCATGTGATGTTCATATTACTCTCATATTGATTAAGGGTTGTAGCCAAGGCTTTCCCATGCTTCAAATATATGAGATAGACCATTGAGATATACTATTGATCTCGGGGCATTGGAGGTGGAGACATGGTGTGGGGGTATACTAAGTCCGGTTGATGTAATCTTCTAACATCTTACTTTATAGTTTGTATTATTTTATTTCTTATACTTTCTTATTTCCATAAGCATTGTGTTGGTTTTATTCATTGAATAAAAGAAGTTGTGATTAGTGGCAACAAGTGAAAACTGCTTTTGGTTATTTATTTGTTTATTTCGAGTTAGTTTTATTGTACTCAAGCCTTTGTAAATGTTCTAGTTAATGAAAAAACGAAGAATTAAAATCTATACACATTGTGCTAAATCAATTTTAGAGAGGGACAATAGGTGAGTGGGCTTACTCACCAATTACTTTTCCTTTTCAAAATACAACTAACAGGGAATATTGACAAAATTTCCCTTCTCCTTATATGATAATCGATGCCCTAGTAATAAAGAGAGAGTAAAAAGAATTGATTCGGTAGTAATAAAGAAAGTGGAATCATGAGAATCATACTTTGTAACATGGCGGGTCAATAAATCAAGTCAGGGTGTTGAAGCATTAAATCACTTTAAAGTTTAAACCAACGCGAACCAAATCCACCTTCACGGGATCAAGCACGATATACAAGAAAACTTTGATTCTCATGACCTCAGCATACATAAAAAAGTATTCTCATTTCTTACTTTTTCAATGAAGATTTTCCTACCTTTAAGCAAAAAAAAATTAGGATGCGGTTAGCATGCCGCTAAGCCTGCCCACGTAGAAATACGGGCTCGGCAATGAATATATTTTTTAAATATAATTTGATCCTAATGTTTAGAGAAAATATAATTTTTAACATGGAGATCATGGATATGAAAAAAAAAATTGAAAATAAAAAATAATTATTATATTAAGAAAACTTTTAGACCGTCTGTTATAATTGTTTTTAGATAGACTACCTATTTGCATCCAAAAAACTTTATATCTTTGGACCACATATTGTAAAAAAGCAATCCAGTCAGCACGAAACAATTGTTAAAAAAAGTATATCTTATTTTTTATGCATTTGCTAGGTGTGTTGGATCTCTATAGAGAACTGTTTTATTCGATCTCTATGGAGAACTGTTTCGTTTTATATGATTAGCACCCTACATAACATCTTCTCAATTTGCTAGGGAAGTTGATATTTATGTCCATAGCTTCTCGTATATTGATTCACTCATGTTACGTATATACTAGTGCCAATTCTTAATAAAAAGGTACGGTTTGTTTAAGGTTACAACTTTATTTGTATAAATAAATTTATTTTATATAGATAATGTAGATTTGACACATCTTTTAAAATAATATCAATATATAATACGTCATTTAATATGATATATAATCTATACCTTCCAGATAAAATAGACGGTATAGATTAATATACCATTATTCTATAAATTATATTACAACTTATATAAATATTTCCTTTAATGAAATATGGGTGCATTATGGCAATCCTCAACAACTAACCCCTCAAGCCCAACCCCAACCCCAACCCCAACCCCAAATCTTATAAGATATGAAAGCTCGAGTATAAGTTGCACCATTCTTTCTTTTCTTCTTTTACATCCGCTATGGGTATTTTCTACGTCCATAGATTTGTGAGGCCAAGTTGACCCCAAGCTAGTACGTAAAGAATAAGAAGGAGAGCCAGTGGGTTGGGTTGAGGTCCCGTCCAGTTATACCAATGTTAGAAAAAATTGGGCGATCTAATCGGTAACCATCCGATTAGATCGGAACTTGTCGGTTTTCGACAGTTTTGGTGATTGACCGGTAGTATATATATATATATATAATCTTAAAAATAAGAAATTTGGTCTGTAATAATTTTTTAATATTCTTTACATTATGGTAAAGATTAAAAATTATCTTGGTCATTAATACTCACTTTTATATTTTTCCATCTTTTTCATAAAATTTTAAAAACCCTTTGCACAAATCAATTATTTAAAATACATTTTTTGTTATTAATTTCCAACTTGGTTTGAATGTGTTTTAATCATTCTTTATATGATTTTAATGTTTTAGTATATATTTTTTTGTATCTCTTTTATTTTTTTCAACAATGTTTTGACTACCGAGGACTTGCCAATTAGAATGGTTGAAATGGCCGGTTTACCGGTTAGGCCGGTTAAACCGCTTTCGGCCCCATGTTCAGTTAACTGTTCTGGTTCGGTTTTACGATATATATATATATTCTATTTTAAATATCGAGTTGGGTTGAATCAAGTCGACCTCATCTCGAACCCGATTTAATTTGCTAAGGTCCAAGATGGACCTAGACCTAGATCTGACTCAGGTTAAGTTTAGGGCATATGAAACAAAAATTAACCTTTAGGTTCAACATATGGGTTAAGACCTAGACTATATTAATTTGACGGTTCCTACCCGACCTAATTGCGACCGAAAACAAAAAGTACCTCGTGTGACCATGACTTTTGACGGTTCCTACCCGACCTAATTGCGACCGAAAACAAAAAGTATCTCGTGTAACCATAACTTTACAAAGTTGTACCACAAACAGTTCTGGTATTGGAAAGCTTGCAAATTAATCATTTTGATCTGGACGATCAAGGATCTTTAAAACATAGATTTGCCTTAATAAATAGTCTATATTATAATATGTTTTCCGAATTTTTATTCCAGGATTCACATGGCCTGATCAGGATCAACTTTTGAGTTTCAAACTACACAGTCGAGGACAAATTTGTAGGATATCGTAAGAACTTTTTACCGTAAAAATTGCATTTTCTTCGCGCGCTGTTGAAGAGTTTGTACAGTATTTACCTATATTGTATGAATTTTCAATATAATATCGCTTAGTGCAAATCCTACATCGAAGAATTGGAGAAAGCCTATAACATATAAATACCTTTACAAAAGCATTAATGCCAGCACGATGGAGAGAAAGGGTAACCTGAAACAATATTTTGAAAAAAATTACTAAAATATCACTAAGCGGCTGCAATCGTGATTTGTGGCGTAATAGGCGCCATTCACAGTTCAAAGGTGCCCAATTCCCATGTTGACTCGGGCGAGTCCATTGCGACTCGCCGATTGGGCACCCTGTGTCGACTCGGACGAGTCCGTTGCAACGTACCGATTTTTAAAGATTTTTAAAACCCTGTAGAAGTGATGTTCACATTAAAAATCTATTTACAAAGGTTGCTCCAATGTCGAAAAACCTATAGTTGATCATCTTGACAGGATCATCTTGACCATATCTAGAAAAAAATAAAAAAAGGATTTCTCAAATTCTAAAATTAGCGCATCTTGTTACACAATATCTACACCATCAATTTTTAAAACAAATTAAGTGTATTAAGTGTTTAAGCTGAGTTACTCAATCTACATCATCTTTATGGCTTTAAACTTCATAATTAAGAAGAAATAGATTTTCAAACCATCCTAGAATTTCTAGCACCGGAAACACAATATTTAGAAGTTTGCCTTACTTTCATTCTTTAATGTTGATACCTCTTTCAGCCCTCCCTCATACATAAATTTGATTGCTTTGACCTAGACTTCATATATGACTCATAAGGTACATGGGATTTTATACATTTAGCTTTTTATTAATCTACTTCCTTGCCATTAACTTTAGTTTACAATGTTCATGAGATGTCTAATGACATTCAACTTTGATTAATCTAGTTGCCATTAACTTTAGTTTATAATGCTCTTGAGATGTCTAATGCCATTAGTTTTCAACCTTTTTGTTTCTTTATTAATAGGAAAAAGTTTGTCAATCTTATACCGTAGAAGTTATTTGCACCTTCAAAATCTAACCAAAAAATTTGTTTCAACAAAAAAATTATAATTAATTATTTCAACCTCAAGATATAAAAATATGATAAAATTAAAGGATTTCATGTCCTAAAAACAGCGCATATCGTCGTTCTAAGCAGCCTATTTTCATAAAATTTAAGTGCATATAGATACGTTTGATCTTAAACTATTATTGGACTCTAAATTTTATTGTTAAAGGTAAAATATCCCTTTCAATCGAAAATTTTTATTTCACTCTTCCTTTGCACGTATCATATCATCCCTCTATCGTAATTAATTAATAAATAAGTTTTGTTGAGCAGAGCGTCCTTTTCTTCCTCTCATGCTCGTCTCAAAACCTAGAAGAGCATCATCACAGCCTATCTTTCCTGGTAAACCCTAACTCTTTTCTCTCTAAAGCTCTCTCTCTTGATTATTTGTGGAGTAGTTCCATTGCCCATCACTTCGACTCTGGATTAAAATTCGTCCATGGCTTGATTACTTGTGGAGTAGTTGCCAATGGTGGGAAAATGGAGAATTATCCAGCTCAATCCTTTTTTGTTTCCCACGGACTGTTTTTGTGTGTTTTTGTTCACATAAATAGTAAAAACTCCTAAAAAATATAATAGACATGGAAAACAATAAATCAGATTCTCCAATGTTTCATTGTTCATTGGAAAGGTTTATTTATTGACTTATCATGATGAACTTCATCACGGTCATATACTTATTTGGTTAATTTAATTCCATTTCATTCTCATGATTTGTTCGAAATCCATATGAGATTGGGCAGTGCAGAGCAAATTCAATGTCATTTGATGGGGGACTATGGACTGCTGTTGATTGATTGCAGTAATTTCAGTTCCATTTTCCATGAAGATTGGTGTAATATGATAGGACTTTGAGTTTTCTAAGACCGTGCTTTTCTCAAATTTTTACTACAGTGAAGTGTTTTTCTGGTTAGGATTATTGTATGTATCGTTGTACTTGAAAACCTTGCACCTTTTGCAGCCGGTTTGAGTCAACCCTTTCTCTTCCCTTCCTGGGATCGTCTATGACTTATAGAATCCTAAAGCTATTTGTTTCTTTCATATGTTTGGCTTTAGTTGCTGTTTTAATTGTTGAACATGTATTTCTTATTAGACCTGTGTTTTAGTTAGTTCTTGACTGTCTTATAATTGCCACATTGGTTTTAATTAGTAGTTCAATGTAATTGCAGCCACTGATATGTCTGGATTTCAATTAGAATGATTATGTATGTCTATAGTTGGATGTCTTATTAGACGTGCTTCGGTGGATAAATTTCAGTTGCTGTGTATACCAGTCATAGGTTATCCCTTTTGTTTTTTTGGTGGTAGCTATAGTAGTCTTGTAGCCAAATCTATTGGGTGCCATTACATCTTCTCCATTAGTTGGTTTTTTTACATATCCCTCATAGAGTTGTCTGTAGATTTCATTTTGGCCAATGATTCTCTGTCATCAGATACCAAACTATCCATGGGTTTTAATGGCCTATTTATGTGGAGAAAAAAAGGGGATGGAGTACACATTGATGATCTAGGGAATAAAATATTTAGCTTCTTGGATCTCTTTTATGTGAGACCTTGCAGAACACGAATCTATTTTATATGATTATGTGAAATTCTGAAGTCAAAATAAGATGTGGTAAAACCACATCAAGAACTGATTCTTGCACCAATTACTACTTGTACATTCATGTGCTTTCCAACTATTAGTACACTCATTTGTAATTATTACTACTGATCTTGGGCAATTATTTTTTTATTTTTTCTAAATTTGCTGGACTTTTGTGATTGTGTTCTATTTGTTTTAGTTATTATGGATCAATGCACAATAAGAATTGAATGTAATCATAATTACTCGCACATAATCATGCATAACAGGTCTTGACATAAATGGGAAATTGGTAACGCCATTCATTTTCACATATTAGTAATCTAAAAATAATAAAAATAAATAAAAAAATAATAATTAAAATAGAAGTTTATGAGTTGAGATTTAGAGGGAACCTAAAAATATATTATGTAAACAAATAATGTAACAAGTGTTTCTAACCGGCACCCAAAAATCGTACTACGACCTATACCATTATGGAACCGGTTCATTCCCACCCATCCGAATCCGAATATTCAAAATCGCCGTGGATACTAGATTAAGGAGTAACCGGACAAAACCCAAACCCTTCACCATATTTTCCGTTTTGAGGGTTTTGTTCCCTGTGTATCAGGGTTCTGCTAACAAAATTTCACTGACCTCATTAATCATTTTATCCTAAAACAATGTTGCCCTAATTGTGGTAAGTGCCTTCAGCCAATCTTCTTCACCATTGAGGGTTTTGTTCCCTGTGTATCAGGGTTCTGCTAACAAAATTTCACTGACTTCATTAATCATTTTATCCTAAAACAATGTTGCCCTAATTGTGGTAAGTGCCTTCAGCCAATCTTCTTCACCATTGGAACATTAGAGCAAACCTTCTTGATTTTCAGGTACGAATTCAGCCTGTTACTGAGTTTTGATTTATTGGAAAAACTCATTCGTGAATTACTCACTTTAGCCCTTGTTATTGTTTATGCGAATTTTGCTGAGGTTTTATGCGTTATGTCTGTATCGGTAGAAACATTCACTAAAAATCATGATTTTTATATGATACATAAACTTATTGTAACATAGTGTTTTTTATCAATGGATAGATGGCGAACCTTTTTATCTAAAAAATGCATTTTGCTATAAATTCTCTGTTATTCAGTTTTTTATGCTTATTTTCTGATTTATTCTGCTTTGTTTCATGGAAGAAATCGTTTGAGAACTATTTGTTCTATAAACCATTACCATCTATTAACTCATTGTAATGCTACTAGCTCTTTCCTTCACTTGTCCCCTTCCCATATATTCTTTTTGCCAAGAAAAATTATGACAAATTAGCAATTGTTTGACAAAGGATAGCCAATTCAGACGATATTTTCTGGAATCTGCAGATCTTTTGTAGTGGGAAAGCTTGAAGCTAATGAAAATGTTAGACTTTTTGTTGAACTGATATGGAAGGAAGACCGATTTGGTTTTTCTAACTGTTGCCGGGGAAGGCTTCAATGCTCTGCAGTTGTTCCATTACCTTCTAGTTGGTTTAACAGAATTTTACTTGTATAATTTGTTTCAAAATCTGGATTTCCTTTTTTATTTAGAATAACTATTCGTTTTGCGGTTATTTTAGATGTTTGTTCTCTTGGTTTGTTGAAATTCCTTTGCTCAAGTTAGTAAGGTTTTGTTTTCAATCATAGAAAGTAGATGGATAAACCTGAAAGCTGTTTTTAAGTACCTGAGTCCTATGTGTTTCTTTAATAAACTATGCAGAGTAATGAGCTGCCATGTTTATGCATACAATCCACCACCATTTTCAAGAGGAAGAACATACCATAGTCTAATTGCTTATGTAAGGAACATAATCCATTCGGTCATCACTGTCCATTGAAATAATGGACAGTTATGGGGGGAGGGAGAGAGAGAGAGATAGAGATAGACAGAGTTTGACACTCGTTGCACAATTGTTTTGGTGATTCCACCATCCATCAATTCAAGGGTGTAGTTTGTGTAAGGTGTCAACCTTAAACAATCAAAGTAAGGCACAACTCTAAATCTTAATAAAAGATGTACTTCCAGTGCCATAAACCCTTATGATCGTGTAAAAATCTATTTTTATGCGTATTATGAAATTTAAAGCTCGAAAATAGTGTAGACAAATCTATAAACACTTAAAAACTGTAAAAATGGATGGTGTTGATAATGTGTTACGAGATGCACTATTTTTAGGACTTGAAATCTTTTTTGTTTTTCATATCCATACATCTCAAGGTCGAGATGATCAATACTAGGATTGTTCAACATTGGAAAACCTTATTGGGTGCATTTTGAAATGCACCTTACTTCTACAGTATAAGGTTGATACCTTATATAAACTTTTTCCTCCATTGAATCCATGTTGATTACCCAGAGGACTATTGTACAGTGCTTCCATCATTTATTTGGTTACAGTAAGGTTTCCCTTTTCAGTAAATAGATGACATTATGGATGCAGATGTAGGTGTGATATTATTTCCTGTTTTTTATATTTTGTTAAAGAAAGGGTTAAGTAAGCTTGTTTTATTCTTGGGATAAATTTCCTTGGTCAAACCTATAACCTCCCTCATGCAAACTGGATGTCTTGCCACCAAGCCAGAGCCTTAAGTTCATGAAACAGTGAATGTCAATATACTATAGTATTTATCACATATAACAGCAATTTATGTAAAAACATGTTCTTAGTATGTTTTACTAATATTTTTCTCCATATGTATTTTTTTTATCAATCCTACATAGATTTATTCTATGTCTATGTATGTGAGGGTTAGTGGATTCTCCAAAGATGCGTACATAAGGTGACAAATGTGGGCCAGACCAATTATTGGCTCTCTTCTGTACTGGTTCTTCAATTTTATTAACCTGTGCTTTTCAGAGCTGCTTGAGAAAGTTAAATATCTTATTTTTTTGGCTACGTTTGTTTGGATAGAACGCAATTTATATACCACATTTATGTGTCCTGGTGTCAAGAAGTTTCAGATGCAGTTGATATTAATGCACACTCACAAGTTTTTTCCCTTTTCCCAACAAGGAAATGGCTAAGGAATTGTCTGGATGCTGCTGCAAAACACATTCCACACGCATTTTGGTGGCCCATTTGGTGATTTGGGGAATGCACACACGAGGATTGCCACCAATTGGTGTGAAAAATTTATTTTATTTACCCATTTTATCCTATACACAAAAACATGTCCTCTCTATGGAATTCTATACCGAAACTGACCAAAGCACATGTAGCAGTCAAATAAAGATTGTCATTGTTGCTTTGTTGTGGATGTAGAGGACTGATGTTTCTTATTCTAGTAATCACCTATGTATGGAAAATCTCGTTGGACTCCCATGTTTGTTACCTTAAACAATAATTCTCTCACAGATTGTTACTTTAAACAATTATTCTCAGATAGACACATGTGTCTCCATGTACCTAGATGTGTGTGTATTCCATATGCTTGTTTTATATATGTATCTATTTGTGAGCATAAGGCGTTCATCACTGTTTTTGTGTGTGTGCGCACTCGTGCGTGTGTGTTAATGCCTACATAGTATATCTACATAATTACGAACATAACACATGTATATATACCCTTGTTCTTCTCGTTCGTTGTTACATGCACGTACGCAAGTATGGAGCACATTTATGGAGCTTTACCCCTTACACTAGTACTTTGGAGTTTGCTCTTTTACCGTAGTTTATTGTGTTGAATCCCACTTGTTTTGGTTTTATTGTATCCACTTGTTTTAGTTTAAACAAAAATACAGGAGAAAAAGTGAAAGAGCATTTATGGCCCATGAGATACCTGTTTTTTACATTGTTATTTTATCTGTCTATATGTCTAGCGAGATGTATCTGTATATCTATATGCATGTATTGTAGTTATTTGTTCATAAACACCTCATTGTTTCCATTGTTACTTGTAGTATGTGTTGAATAGTTTCCTCTTTATGTCCAAAAGAGTTTCTGGTTGTTGGTCACTTGTACATTATTGGGGTCCTATCCCAAAGTTTCGAAATGGAAGTTCACATTCCCAAATTTGGGTTATCATAGAGCAAATAGGTCTTTAAAGCTTGCATGCTCAGGTTAGACCTATCATGTCTCTTGGATTTTCTGAATACTACTATAGATCATACATGTGCCATGCTCTTGTTGGCCCATATATAATATGTAAGAAGAAAGGTGATGCAAGGCTGCCAGATTTGGTTAAAATGGCAATGCTGTGCTGATATGCTTCCTAAAATGGAGTGGAATTATATTTGATATTCTCTGTCATGGAGAAGCATTTGAGTGGCTAATGAAATGTACTATCATAGTAATTCACCCAATATTTTTGTTGTAAGACTGATTGTCAAATTATCGAACAAAGGTCTTCTTCTAACATGAATTTAGGTTTTTGCCTCCTGTCCTGTTGTGCTCTTCATGGAATTTGGATCTACTGAAATATCATGGCCATAAAATCGGTTGTGAAAGCTATTGGGATGCTCTTCCAATATATGCTTTGACAGACCAATATCCATATGAAAGCTCTAATAGAACACTAAGTCCCTTGAATTCTTGATGAATGAATTTGTTTCCAGTCATGAGTGAACATGATTCCTTTGCTTTTTAGTAGACACAGAAATTGGAGAATTCATAGATGTGATGCATGATTGTCGTAATGTTTAGTGACATATATCTTTTATATTGTTTTCGGCTGTTTGTTTGAACGCCTATGAATTACTCATGTTCTGATTTTGCAACAGAGTAACCCAACCTTGAGGATGCTCTCGGGTCTTGGCATTCGCATTCGCCATGGTCCTATTTATTCAGGTTCTCAACCTTCTGCTTCTTAAAATTATGAATGATGTGGTGCATGTGAATGGCAAAGGGAAAGTATACTCTAATTGAATGATCTGTGGGAAAACCATGGTCCATTGGACACCATCCTTTGTATTGACTGATGAGGGAGAGGCAGTGGGGCGAACCAAACCATGAGATGGCCCAAATGGTAGGTCTCGCTCTATCTCCATCACGTCCATTTCCATGGATGTTGATGATCCAATGAGCCATGGTTTCCCATGGTCCATTGGAACAGTAAAATGGTGTAAATAGTAAAGAGTATGGTGATCGTTTATTTGTGTAATCTATCTCTGTATGTAACATTACTTACCGTCATTGTTTGATCGTTTACTTTGATAGGTTTTACTCAAATAAGGAAAAAGCAATCCTTTAGCATAGGGAACTGTAAGGATACGGAGACAAAATATGATGGTAGACTGCAACATGTATTTGGAAAGGTAGTTTCCTTGTACTGTATTTGCATTAATTAAAGAAGAGAGTTTTTTTTTTTTTGACAACGAAAAAACAAAGAGAAAACTTCTCTTTGTTATTCCTCAAATTGTGCTCTTACATCTTGCAGGTTTCTGTAATGCAAAGAATAACTTCTTATTCTAGGGGCTTGGGAATTGCAAGTATAAGAGCTGCTGCAGCTGAAAGGAATATAAGAACTGTTCCTTCAGATGATGCATATGATTCAGAGCCTCTTTGGTTATCATTAATCAGGGAAACTTTCAGGTTTGAATTGTCAATGCTATTTTTCGATATTTTATTTCTTTATTGATGTTTGTTAAGTGATGTTTATAAGTGTTTCTTCCACTGAATTCGACACTATAAATCCAAAATGGCTATCACCTTGAGAGCACCTTATTGTGTAAAGAAGGTTCTGAGTTACAATCTACTGATATTGAGGTTGAGAGGCATGGCTAGCGCCAAATAACAATTAAAATTTAGTTGAACTAGGTGGACATCGTGTGGCAAACAGCTCTTTGGGTCATGGGATGATGAATTGAGAGTGTATATGCTCTTTTTAGGCATAATCTGCATTATGGGTCATGAGATGGTGAATGGAGCTAGTGTATATGCTATTTTTAGGCATAAATCTGCATTATGGATCATGATAGTGTGAATTGAGCTAGTGTGTAATTGTATATGATTCTTTTAGCCATACATCTACATTTATAAGTCATGGGATGATGAGTTTAGCTGGTTCCAATACTTGATTTAGGTGTAAATCTGCATCATGGAGCACTCTATTCCATCAATATGATGAAATATTCTCCATGGGGGGGATTTCACTTTCAGTGCCATTTATTTATAACATAGTTGTTGAAATCAATGTACATACAAAGGGAATTGCGGGAAACAAGATTCCTACTTTATATGAATCGAGATTTGACCCAAATGAATTTAAGATTCCATCCTTTTTGGAATCTAGTTTCTAACCAAAATGTAATTGAGATTCTATCCTCTTTGGAATTAAGATTCCATCCTCTTTGGAATTGAATTTCCGATTTGATGCTTCTCATAGGTTCTGAATTGTTTATTTTGTAGTTCATGGCGCTATGTTTGTGTTTCTAATTTGATGGAGAAAGTATCATTTTATATGAAATCCATATTCAACAAATGTAGAATCAAGATTCAACAATTGCGGAATTGAGAATCAATAAATATTAGAATGGATATTCTATGAGTGTTAGAATCGAGATTTTTGACTTCACGGAAATAAATTATGTGAAGATTCCTTGTCGAAATCGCTACCTTAGGTGAGAGATTCGAGTAACTACGATTTTGTAATACTTTTTCACCTTCTTGTTAATCAGCTGTGGCTATTTTGAGTGAATTAAATTTTGGTATGAAGAATCTGTTAAAGTTGCCAAGTGGGATGACTAAAACCTGATATTCTCTTATGTTAATTTGCAGTGGTCTAAAATCACTGCTTATGTTTCTATTGGAGCAACCAGGTCAGCTGAAGTATATTGAGTGGCCATCTTTTAAGAGCACGGTATGTCCTTCAATCTAGTTTAAGCTTTTCATTGTGAAATATTCCATAAGAATTTCTGTCAAAAAACAAAAAAATATTCCATAAAATTTCAACAAAAGCAACCAGGTGCAAGTGCTTTATTTAAACGTTAATGTACAGATTTTATTGAGTAGGGGAATGTTCTTGAATCGCAATGGAGAGGTTCTAAAGGGATGCCTTTGAAACTCAATTCCAGGCAGTTGGATATGGACAATCTTTTCATAGAAATAGGACCTCAAATTTTGGGGCTCTGACCTAGTTTCTATGACCTCAAATTTTGGGGATCTGACCTACTCAACTAGTGACTAACCCCTAAGGAAAAAAAAAAAAAATCATCCTCAATCTACCTGAAAACAAGAAAGAAAGAAGCACACCATATAGGATTGCACGCAGACTGTCCCAGTTTTTGACAGCCAGATCTAGATGTTACATAATAAAAAACCTTCCTTTTTTGAAAGGGAAATGATTCAACTTTCTAGGGCCCCAATACTTTTTAAACTACATGACAAACACCCAAAGACTCTTTTTTTTTGCATGCACCCTCCTAGAGTATAAAAAAACTGACTTTCTTTCAGGAAAATGCCCCTTTTCTTTGTATTTTTGCCTATTGAAGCTAATCTTGTATGTTTTGTGCCGGATTGTCTTTATTATAGCTTTGATCCCCCAATTGAGGCCGGTCTGGCATCCTTCATTATAAACAATGAAGCCGGTCAGGCACAAATTGTGCCAGACTGGCTTTAATATGGATTGAGAGCCGATCTGATGCGTTATAATGATGCCGGTCCAGCACACATCATGTCAAGCTGGCTTATATAGGGACTCAAAAAAAAGAAACAAAGAGAGAGAGAGAGAGAGAGAGAGAGAGAGAGAGAGAGAGAGAGAGTAGTAAGTTAGGTAGGGTAAGTTTAACTAAAAGTTAAAAAAAAGTAAGTAGGTACGGTTGGGTGGGGTTAGGGGGTAGGGAGGGAGGGAGGGGGAAGGGGGGAAGGGGGGGGAAGGGGGGGGGGGGTAGGGGTAGGGGTTAGGGGTTGGGGTTTA